GAAAGTTGATGTTTTACTTAAGTTTTAAACCTAAAAGTTAAAGAATAGGAAACACATAGTGTAAATTGTGGGTCTTGTTGTTTTTCTGCCTCCAACTTGCTGTTTCTTGAAACTGTATTGATGTTAGGATTCCTTTCACAGTTTCCTTAAAATGCAGACTATGACTTGATTTTTAAATCTTTGACTTACATATTTGCAGTAACCCATTTATTACAGAAAGCAATGAACGCCTGTATCCTCCCCAGGGTTAATTGCTCCAATTAAATTCATTTAAAACACTAATTGAGAAGACTACGATTTAATTCCTGTTTCTTAACAGAAGTTTTTTTTGGCCTTTTTGAGACAGGGTCTCTCTGTAGCCCCAGCTGGCCTGGAACTCACTATGTAGACCAGGCTGGACTTGAACTCACAGAGATGTGCCTGCCTCTGCCTCCGGAATGCTAGGATTAAAGGTGTGGAACACCACACCTGGCTACAACAGAAGATTGTTATTGCTATGTTGGCTCATAATATACATAAGTCTCTGAGTGACTAGAAGGTTCATATTATATGTATTTTTAATCAGTGCTCTATTTCCAAAGTTCAGAATTCTTCTGTAGGTGTATTAGAAAAACCTGAGGATGACAGGTTCGTCTGTCTTGCTGTGTGAACATACTTGCAGTGTGAGCCTGAGAATCCAAGTTTGATCGCCAGAACCCAAATAAAAGCCAGCTTCAGTGACTGCATGCTTTTAATCCAAGCGCTTGGGAGGTAGAGACAGGCTGATAGTTCTTGGGGCTCCCCTGGCTATACCATTTCGCCTCCCAGTGAGAGACTCTGTCTCAAAAAAATAAGGTAGGAATAGATGAGGTGGCTCAGCAGGTCAGCCACACAAGCCTGATGACTTGAGTTTGATCCTCAAAACCCACATGAAAATGGAAAGAGAGGGGATAAAAGAGAGAGAGTACCAACTCCACAAATGTCATCCTCTGACCTCCACACACATGCTCTGGCATGCAGGTCCCCAATAAGGATAATGAATTTAAAACAAAACAAAACATGGTGGGCAGCACTTGAAGATAGAAACCCAAGACAGACCTCTGCTTCACATGAAAACACACACCTGCACGTGTGCTACCATAGCCACACAGACACCAGAAATGAAAAAAAACAAAAAAGTGAAATCTGACACTAATTTTTTCAAGTTGATTGATTTTTTTTAGTATAGAGCAATTTGTTTTATTCTAAGGTGAATTTCAAAGTCATAATAAAAATGTGTACTCATTTATAGCTGTGGTGATTTTGGTGTGAATTCATTTTATTCATTTCCATTTCTTTTTTTTAGTTGAATTTTTGCAGATGTCATCCAGTACATCTTGATCATATTTAGACCCCCCTCTCCTATCTGCATTCCCCCATATCCCCACCATTCTGCCATATATGTTAAGCCAATTGAATTTAGGAAGTGAACTCATCACTGAGTTATTTGGTGGATATTTTCACCACAAGCTACTACAAGAAAGAAATATCACCCAAAGTAGGAAGAGGTAACTGTGGGTTAGCCTCCATATATATGATGGTAATCACAATGCAATGTCTTGGCTAAAGATGACACCAAAGATGCTGAGCCTGGCTGCTTACACCTATATTCCCAGCATTCAGGAAGCGGAGGCAGAAGGATCACAGGTTCCAGGACTGCCTGGCCTACACACCAAGACCATGTCTCCAAAACAACAACAAACAAACCAAGAGAAATTAACAACACACCAAAGAAATCGGTAACTCAAGTTTTTGCTAGAAGAAGTAGTAACAAAATGTGAGCTCCTTTGAAAAGCACCTGGAAATTTCAAGGTGTAATAGCTGCAGAGATACAGAGTGGAGATGAGTACTAAAGGTGGATGGAGATACACAGTAATATTGAAATAAAAAAAAGACTCCAAAATGGAAAGTACATCTCTGAGAAAAGAAAATTAAATCTGATTAAAGAAAATGAAGGGAACCTATGAGGTAAACTGGTCATGTGCTAACTTTATTTTAGGCAAGATGAAAAAAACACTTGATGAAATTCTTCAGTAGCAGGGCAAAGAACTTGACAGAAAAAATTCAGTGCCTTTCTTGCCTAGTAAAGTAAAATAAAGGACATACTAACTGTAATTTTCTCTTGTAATTTATGATGAGATAAAACCAGGTAAAATTATAGTAAATGAACAGATATTGTAGGTTCAGTTGACATAGTGATTAGAGCTATGTTGCATCCTTCTATATTTTGAACAAACCCAAAGTAAAGTTTTAGACTCACTAATCCCTTAAATATAAATAAATAATGTTCTCTTTTGGGAAGGTTTGGAAATCTTACATTTCTGTTTGATCAGCAGTATCTTTTTAGCACACCAATAAAAAATGAAAAGGTTAGGAAGCCACAGAGATGGCTCAGTTGGTAAAGTGCTTTCCAAAAACTAAAAAGGTTATCTCATGGAAATAAATTTTTTATTCAAAATTGTATATTTTAAGGAAAATGATATTTCTCTATCCAGAAAGCAGTACATTTATAAATTTAAATTAAGCCAACATGTAAATTTACTAACTAAAATTTGATGCTTAATTCCAGATTTTATTGTGTTATCTAATTCCTGTTCACCTCTGTGAGATGAGTTGTGAAAATTTTAATATATTTTTATCATTAGAATTATTGTAATTGTATATATTAGATGCTGTGTGATAATTTGATACACACAAGGAGTAACAACCAAATCAGGGTAGTTAATATTTACGTCTCCTTAAACATTTAAAAAATTGACTGACACATAACAGTTTTACATATTTATGTGGTATAATATGATTTTTTTCAGTATAAGTATACTGTACATACCAATCATGTCAGGGTAATTAATATTCCCACCTCATTATCATTACTTTGTGTTTGGAAATTTTGAGTTTGAGTTCTTGTTATTCATAAAATATGTATTCACTTATTGTGAACTATAACCCACACACATAATGCCATAGTACATTAGAACTTACAGCTTTTTCTGTGTTTGAAAACCTGTGATCCAACCTCCCCCAATCTCTCCTCCCCCTATTCTCAGACTCTAGTAATCATTATTACATATTCTAATTGCCTTTTTAAGACATTCTGGAGAGATGGCTCAGCAGTTAAGAACACTGGTTGTTCTTGCAGAAGACCTGGGTTCAAATCCCAGCACCCACATGGCAGCTAACAAC